TATCTAATTTGTTGTTACACTGAAATTATCTGCATTATATAGCTATTAGAATGAACACTTCGACGTGGTGTAATGATTAACCATCAAGTCTCGCTAGATCAATTTCGATCCTGGCTGGATGCTCCATTTTTTCGGCCTTGTGCCACATCTAAGGTACGCTTAGTAAGTCACTATATGACTTAGAATTCCAGTACTTTTCTGAATTTACTTGTCACTCATCGTAATTGCTCATCGATATTGCAGGTTCGCTGTTTAACTATCACATTAAAGCAAATATCGCAATAAAACAAGTTAAACCAATTTTATCGCAATATAACAAGTTACAATTATTGATCATGATAAAACGAGTCATATTATTTCGTTTCTATATGTATATGAAAAAAGTGTTTACATTATATTGTGGCCTATTATGTGTACAATAGCATTAGATCTTTAAAAATGTTATATTTTAAATGCCATGTCTCTTCAGGAAGTGGAGGATCATGGGTCTCCACAGCTTCTTTTTCTTTAATATCCGTAAATTGCCATGAATTCTTTGGAAATGTAATATAGGGGTTTACCATTGAATTCTCTACGTTTTGAAAAAATTCTGTGTTGTTCTCTTTCTAGACTGTGACCCAAGGCTAAATAACCCCATCGATGCTAACTGGTGGGTGGACAGGAGAAGAATTCGTGTTTTTCTCCGGAGCGTTAGTATAAGAGGAAATGCTACAGACTAAGTTAGAGTTTGAACTCCATTCGTTGATTTCACTTTCAGCACTGATGATCGTTATATTACCAGAACACCCAACTTAATTCAAAAATAGTTTATAGCTACGAAAATATAACAGGGACACGGTAAAATGTCGCCAATCGACATGCGTAACTCAAAGTGTGCCATCATAATTTGTAAAAAGAGAATGTCGGTAAAACGAGAAATTCCTGTACCATTTCTCCTTTTTCTAAACCATTTGTTTATCATTTCACCCCAAGCAAGGCGTAAACGCCACTATTACGTAGGGGCATATAAGAAATAAAGGGTGAAAGAGAAAACTGAGAATAGGGAGGATTGAGGAGAGGACAAATGATGGACAGGATTCAAGAAGACAGACGATGGCGAATGACGTTATATTTAATTTTTTTGAAGATTGTAGTTAAACGGAAGGGAGTTTAATAGGTCGGAAAGAAAACTATCGGAATAGAAGTGGCAGTTGCATTTAGCTATTTCATCAGTAAAAGGTGGAACCTAAATGACAATCTAGTAGCACGTTTAAATTCATGTAGTCGGGGCACCAGGGAAACAGCTGGTCAGAGCAGTTGCAATGAAAATATTTGTAGAAAAGTCAGAGGGAAGCCATGTCACAGTGAGAAAGTAATTGAAGTCGTGATGCCTGGTCAGGATCAATTATATAACAGATCCTCCTTTGGATTTTATCAAGAATCTCGAGTTGTCTAGCAGGAGCACCGGACCATATATGGCATGCACAGACGAATGGTAGATTTGTAAATGTGCAAGATGGATTCTGACGAGAAAAATTTTCTGGCACCGCACAGTGATCCAGCTTTCCTTGCAGTAGATGCAGCTATTGATTCGATGTAGTCGCTCCACTTCAATGGCACAGTGTATTGATCTCTTGAAGTTTAGCGTCAGTCACGCTGATGGCAGGTAAAAAAAAAAAAAAAGATGCGTTCAAGTGAGATCACAACCATTTTAATAACTGACTTTCGAGGACGTGTATATCTCGACCGATGGTTGGGCAACGGGTTTCATAATAAAGGAAGATTTAAAATCAATTTTTTGGCGAAAATGTTCAAAACGTTTTAAAATCAAATATTTTTGTTTTTAATCAGAGCAATGAGAAACAATTCTCGTTCTCGTTAGGAAGAAAATCAAAATCAAATTCAGATGCTTCGCCATTTGTTTACTTTTTGAGAAGTGGTCAAGAAATATGTAATTTTGAAATCGGCCATAACTGGCAAAAAGAACATGTGTATAATATATGCCGGACTTAGTTTGGGTTGCTTTTTCATCAATTCACAATCTTGCCTTAAGTATAGCCATACACTGAATGCATGACCGCGTGATTAGAACGTTTGCTTTATGTCCACGAGACCTGGGCTCGAAACTCTCTAAGGTCTTGCAGCATCTTTGAAAACTGCCTGCGAACTTTAGCACCGTTCGACCCAAGCCTTGTGAGTGAAATTGGGTAGACGGGGCTGTTCAGGAGCCATCTCAGAAGTCATAAGTCATCGTGAGCGAGCGTTTGAGTGTATAGACTTTGATCGAATTGTTGAATCCGACAGATAACACTATCTCTCTTCCATCTGTGTGTGTGTGCATGTGTGTGTGTGTGTGCGCGCGCGGTAGTAGTATACCCCCCCAAAAAAAAAAGAGATAAGAGAGAGAGATAAGTAAAAGAGACAACGGTAGCAAGAAAAAGAGTGCGAGATAGATTTATTCGATCGAAAGCTGAAATGTTCACGGCCCGATACAAACAAACAAGAGATTTGGGGTTGGGGGGTGGGATTCCTACTTGGCTGAGTCGACAACATTTCAATAATCCTCGGATTCAAATAGATATGCAGCAAAGTTAAACTTTAATCAAAGCGAGAATTATCGGAATTTCGCTATATACTGTGTCAGATTTTAATATGCAATAATAATGCTTTTACAATAAAATCGATCGGAAGCAAGTGATATTGGCAAACTTCTCAGAATACGTTTATATTAAACCTGTTTTAGTTTACAATATCTGATTTTACAATAACATATTTGGTCCTGAGAGAATTCTATATGGAACTCATATTGCAAATAAATATACACAATGTTACAGTTAAGGATATTTGTTATTTAATTTAATATATATCAAAATGGCTATAGCTCATAAGAAAAATAGAATCTCAAATCTTTCTTTTACAGTGGTGTTCACCCTGTACAAGGCCCGGAAGCCACTCGAAGTAGAGGGTTACAGAGTAATGTGGAAGATAACGGTTAACCCTAAGTTAAGATTGTAGTGATCGGGGAAGCAACCTCTTGTCCGTCGGTTTCACAAAACAGCGGTTAGTGGGAAGAAACTGCTTGAGTGGAACTTACATCTCACCAGGGAGATATGAAGGGAATGAGGGTGGTTCGCAACAATGTGCGTGGCATTACGTTTTCATCGCCGTGTGAAGGTTAGGACTGATGGTAGTAAGGAGTGTAGATCATCTGAACACTCGCCATGGAAATAGCGATGGAGCAGTGGAAGGCTTGCGACATCTCGTCTGTGAGAAAATGGTTATAGGGTAGAAAATAATTCGTCGCTTACAAGGACGCGTAGACGCTTTTGGACTTTGTGCAGAGAGAAAACAGAAGACTTGGCAGCGCCGAGCGATTGATGGCAACACGACTTTTGAAATTGAGAAAAATTTTAACCAAGATTATAAAACAATCAAAAAGAAATAGTACATATGGCTTTGGAAAAGCAAAAATCCACGCCTTCACTTCTCAGATATTGCTTAAATATCTTGGTGGTTCTACAGAAGTATGCTGAGGAAACCATGGAAATTCTAGAGAAAATGGAAACAAAAAAGAAGCTTATGCTTAACATCAGGAAGAGACAACTGAAATATCTAGTATACATCATGAGGAAAGAGAGCTTGGAAAATCTGATACGCACGAGACGAATTGAAGGCAAGAGAGTTAGAGGTAAACAAAGCACAACATACTTACTGAGCTTGACTAAATGGATTGCAGAACAAGGTCTGGGATAAAAAAAAATATTAAGAAGGACAGGGAATTGTGGAGAGCCATGATCGCCTAAGCCCTGAGATGACACAGAACATGAAGAAGAAGATGCAATTATCGTGTGCTGACTGGCAGAGGGGTTCTCCTCTGCCAATATTATTTTCTCAAGCCCCAGGGAGCCTTCCTCCAGGCTGTACCTCCGCTTCGGGAGCGGGCTGAGTTTATTGGCTGGCGCCTGATTCATCCCTCAAAATGGGTAAGTATTGAGAATTTGTCTACGGTATTGCCGTTAAACCCACTTTAAACCCTACTTTATGTCACATTCAGTAGTATCTATCTATCTATCTATCTATCTATCTATCTATCTATCTATCTATCTATCTATCTCAGTTCGCTCATATCTATCTATCTATCTATCTATCTATCTATCTATCTATCTATCTATCTATCTATCTCAGCCCGTCCATATCTGTTATCTACTTGTGTTCTCTTTCTCTCTCTCTCTCTCTCTCTCTCTATATATATATATATATATATATATATATATCAATCTATTGAAGATCATGTTTAGGAATGGCGTGTGCGGACTGAAAGTATTATAGCCTTTTGCTGCTATCGTTTGTGAGTAGTACTTCTTGTAAGATGCTGCATACTTGGACAAAGATCCTAATTCGAAGGAGGTGGTGGAAATGTTTTTTTTTATGTCATTTTCAAATGCTTAAATTCCTTGAACTTTTGGTTACTTGATTTTATAAATATTCCCGTGCACAAGGTGTTTGTTGATAGTAGTAAACTTTGTATACTTAGAATTCAAATCAAACGATTTTACCTATATGATGAAAAAAATCATCAGTTTAAATTAAAGTAAGGTGCTATTCGCAAAATTCTTAAGTTAGTTTCATTTAGAATGGAACAACAAAATACGCAATGAAACATATCTTGATGTCATCTTTTATGTATTCAATGATTATTTAATTTTGATGGGCGTTACATTCATTGTTGGTCGCTATTAAAAATAGCTTCCCGAATGTCGTATTGAACCGAAAGCTGTCGAACTAATGTTATTACTAACGGATTATACGCAAAAGCTGTCTTTTTAGAAAAAGTAATCCGACAGTTTTAAAAAAAGGCAAACTAGTAGTTCTTCTGTTCTTGGTCTTTCTTGGTAGTTTATAGCAGACTTGGAGGCGCCTGACAAAACAATAGGCGTTCATTGGAGCATGCCTATAAAGGGTTACTGCAAAAGAAGAAGTGGAGCGGGAAGAGTGGGAGGAGACATGGAACTACAAAACAATCAATAATCAGTAAAAGGAGGAGTGGATATGTCAGGAAAGAGAAAGGAGGAGAAAGAGGAGTGAGACGAGATAAAAAACGAAGCTGGAAAATAGCTATGGTAAATGAAAGTTAGCAGTTTCAAGGGAAAGAAAAAGAAAATAAAAGAGGAAGAGAAATCAAGAGATGAAAAGTAGGAGAGAGAGAAAAAAAAGAGCGGGAAATTAGAAAGTGGTAACAGAGAGAAGCATCCAGCTCAAAATAAAAACGAATGAAAAGAAAGAAAATGTAATCAAAGAAACAGTCAGTAGGCTGAACGAGAATGATTGATAGAAGTTGGAAAAGGAAGATAAAATAAGAGAGAAATAGCAAAACGGGAGAGAAGGAAATAAAGAAAGAGACATGAAGAGGCGAATAAAGAAAAAAAAACGACGATGACGAAAATAAGAAAGAAAAGAAGATTAATAAGAAAAGAATATATTTGAAAGAAAGGATGAAAAAAAAGAAAGAAAAATGAAGTCAAACAAGCATACTAGGAAGAAAGGAAGAACGAAAGAAATAAAATACAGGAAAAGAAAACAGAACATTAATAACGAATAAAATGGTAAAAAGAAAGAAAGAATAAGTGAAAAAATAAGATATTAAGAGACGATTAAAGTGAAAAAAAAGAAAGAAAGAAAAGAAATAAGGAAGGAAAGAAGAAAGAAAGAAAGAAAGGAAGAAAGAAAAAGAAAGAAAGAAGAAAGAAAAAAGAAAAGCAGAAAAAAGGGAAGAAAGAAGAAAGAAAGAAGCGAAGGAAGAACAGGATTATAGAAAGCAAAAAGAGAGGCAAATAAAATGTTAAAAAATGAAACAATAAAAGGTAAAATCAAAAAATTAAGATAATAGGAGACGTAAAAAATGAAGAAGAAAGCAAGCAAGCAAGAAAGAAAGAAAGAAAGAAAAAAAGAAAGAAAGAAAGAAAGAAAGAAAGAAATAGTAAATGGAATACGAAAAATGATGAGAAAAAAATTACTTGCAAAGAAAGAGGAAGAAAAAGAAATATATGAAGAAAAAGAAGACCAAAAAGCAATAGAAAGAAAAAAAAAGGAGAATATAAGAGATCTAAAGTGAAAAAAAGATTGATGCATAACAGTCGTCGGATAAATTATACAACAACAAAAAGTAAAGAAAAAAATAGTGTCAAAAAGATTTAAAAAGAAAAAAAAAAGGAAGGAAGGAAAGAAAGAAAGAAAGAAAGAAAGAAAGAAAGAAAGAAAGGCAGGAATGAAGGAAGGAGAGAATAGGTGCTGAGGATGATTTTGCATAAAGATATAAAAATGATCAAAATACACTTATATGTTAAAAAAATGAAGATTTCAATGATTTTTTTATGAGATCATGCGTTGGACGGAAAAAAACAGGCTTCACTTTCATGTATCATTTTTTCGGCTTTATGTAATTTTTATAACAAGAAAAAAAAGCATGCAGTTAGATGTAACTGACGAACCATAAGCCATTGAAAAGATCACAGAAAGAAAAGAGAGAAGAGAAGGAACGAAAGGGCAATAGAAGTTTAGAAAAGATAACGTATATGAGAGAACACACGCAGATACATTCACATACACGCGCATGCGCATACACATTTTTTTTTAAAAAAAAAAGAATTCTTTTTCTTTCAGGGTGTAGGTTACTGAAGTCTCTCTACAGCTTCTATAATATTTGTGAACTTCCATGTTTTCTTTGGAGAATACACCAACTGCATCTCTCACAGAGAGGTACCTCAACAGAAAAGCCACCTACTAAATAAATGGTTATAGGTATAATTATAAACGACTAATATTTATTTATTCCCAAACCAAGCAAATGCTTACAGACTCATCACACATATGTACGGCCGAGATTTACAAGATTTTCCCGGGAAACAATTCAATGCTTATAATTTTAAATATAAACGATCAATATTTTACCGAATCAAGTGAATACTTACAAACTCTACTGTAAACTATCAATATTTCACTATTCTCGAACCAGGCGAATTCCCACAGATTCAAATATAAATGACAAATATTCAACAATTCTCGAACAAGTAAATGCTTTTAGATTCAAATCTATAAAAGACTGATTTCCATATTTAATAACTCAGCATATAGTAAAATCAACTATGTTCAATTTCTAGATGTTAGTCAGCAACTGGAAGTTGAAGTTGATTTTAACAATGCCAAGTTTCTTTCTTTCAATTAATATCAGGATCAATTACATATTTCATTGTCTCTACTTCTTTCCCATGGGCAGCTTCGACATGGTGTAATGGTTAGTAAGCTTGTCTTGTTATATCAATTACAGCTGAATAATGAGTTCGATCCATACGGCATTGAGCCACATCTAAGCTACGCTTATAAAATCACCACCTCTCTCTCTAAATAGAGAGAGCGTCGCCATACTACATGGTTACTGCATTCTCTTTTTTTTTTATAGTAGAGAGCAGAAGTTGTACGTTATTATACGAACAGTTGTAGCTGACAGATAACATACAAGTCGATATCCAATCAGTATTGCTTGGGTCAACGTAAAAAGGGGGTATAATGTTGAACGAACCGTAACTGCTAATGATCCTCGGCTATCTATCTATCTGAATCTCTTTATATCTCTTTATACAATATGGAAACCAGTAATACGGAATGCTAGAGAAAAGCAATAATAACAACAAAAATTGTAATATGAGCTCTGATAAAAAACCAAAAAAAAAATCGGTTACTGAGACATTAAGCTTATAAATCCTCAAGGACTCCAGGCCCAGTGGATAAAAACGTTGGTTGGATCCAGTGATTTGGTCGAAATAGACGAGTTCAATACATGGCTAATGCAGTGGTGAACAAAATCTTGGAGAGCTAAGTTAAAGGGAGATAACTGAGAAATCCAGACGAAGCATGGCACATAGAACTCGAATAATCTACCTCAGTGGACGTAATAAAATTTTCAATTTGAAATTCCAATCACCTGAAGAAGGCCGAAACGTTGAAAATATGGCAACAAAGATGAGGGTAACGGTCAGAACAGTGTAAATAATCGCAATACTTCATCTCAGAAATATAGACAGATATTGTTCATATCTATCTAAATTTTTTCATATCAGTCTATCTGAATCTATTTATATCTATTTATATGAATTTGTTAATATCTATCTATCTATCTATCTATCTATCTATCTATCTATCTAAATCTCTTTATATCGATTTATATGAATTCGTTTGTATCTTTTTTTTAATCGGTATCACCCCAAGCAAAATAGTAATGTCACTAAAACGCAGGGGTTATAGAGTGTGGAGGAACTAGGAACTGAAACATTAGTAATGAGTAGAAAGAGAAAATAGTAATCAGGGGAACAGTAAATAGCGATTGACTTTGCATTTAAACTTTTGCAGATTAAAGTTGGCATGGTAGCATGGATCTAGAAGTGAGTTCCACAAGCGAGAAGTTCGAGAAATGAAACTTTTAGCATAGAACTTACGGCTACATGTAGCCAGCTCAACTGTAAACTGATGAGATATCACCACCAGTCTCGTATTGCGATTAAATTCATAAAGTCTAGGTACCATAGCGAAGAGCTCAATCGAACAATTACCATGAAAATTATTTACATTATTCGGACTATTGTCCTCATCTTTGTCGCCATATTTATCCAGTTTCTGGTAGAATTTTTCAATTTGTCTCCATATTTTTGGTATATCGGGTCCGTACCGATAGAGTCTGTCTATATTTCTGAGATGAGGTATTATGTACATTATTTACATTATTCGGACTACCATGAAAATATTTATAAAAAGAAAAAAGGCGCAGATAGGCCACCTTACGGCGATGGGCAAGTGACTGAAACCGAGGTGCCAGATCAGGACCAATAACATTGTTGATTCTTCTTTGAATCTTATCAAGGAGCTTCAGGTAAATAGCAGATGCACCGGACTATATATGACAGCAACATTCTAAGCATGGACGAATGGTAAACCCATAGATATGCAAGATAGATTTCGTAGAGAAAAATTGGCTCGCATGTCACAGTGAACCAACATTCTTAGCAGCTGACCTAGTAATGGATTCAATGTAGTCTTTCCACTTTATCTCAGCTGAGAACGTTAGGCTGTGAATAGGCACAATAAGTCACTTTACTGGAGGTTAGCATCAGCCATGCTGATGGAAGGCAGAGCGTGGTCTCTTAGATAATTAATGGGGTGAAGTTTAGTTTTGGAGGCTTTGAAATTGACAAGCCATCTTTTGTCCCAATTAACGACGGTCTTGAGGTCGTTTTGAATATCAGCTGCCATTTTGACTTTGTCGGACTGATCAGTCTTACAATTGAGGCAGGAGTAAATCATAGTGTCGTCAGTGTAGTTGCCAAGTTGAGAGCTTATGTCATTGGGAAGGTCGTTAATGAAAATTAAAAACAGCGTAGGAACAAGGATGGAGCCCTGGAAGACACTCGCATTAGTACGAAAGGATCTATACGATTATTCGTTCAGGATAACTTTCGTTTCACGATTTGATAGTAAAACTTGGATCAGCTCAAAAATGTGTCCGGAAAACCGTAACTTTTCAACTTGCGAAGAAGACCTGAATGCGAGACTCTATCAAAGACTTTCGAGATGTTCAATGCTACACCGTTTTTATCTAGAGTATGATAGAATCTCTGAAATTATCGTTAATACATAAGCAGTCGACTTGGAGAAACGAAAGTCGTATTGATTGTCTGAGAAAAGGCCCCGCGATGAGAGATGATGTACCATGAATTAGGGCCTCTAGGAGTTTCCCAAAAAGAGGTTAATAGGTCGATAGTTGGATGGCTCAGATATTAGGTTGGTGCAAAAATAATGTCGTTTTTTGACGTTCAACTTCAAAAGAGAAAACGACATTATTTTTGCACCAACCTAATAGTTCACTGAAGCAACAGGCGATGATTTCCAGTAGGCAGAAAAGCAGGAGGCATCTATTATACAGTTTAGAGAGAACAGGAGCCAGTTCGGGAGCACATTTCTTAATGTCTATTACAGGGATACCATTTGGTCCACATGCTTTGTGCAGATCAAGGTTAGATCTGATGGCAGAAACCATAAAAGGGGTTATATGCATATCACTCAGAGATTCAGTTCTAGGTGGGAATTTAGACAGGGGTAATCCAGATGAGTTCAAGAGTAGAGTTTGAGGAGAATTTACGGGCAAAGCATTCAGCTTTATCAGCAAAGGACGATAACACATCAAACTGATTGAAGAGGCGGGAGATAGAGATCTTGTTCAATACCCTATTACAGAGCCGTTAGTAATCACGCGAGCCAAAGCTGTTAGAGGCTATGCGTGTCTCATTCTCTCGGCAAACAGGGACTTAGTCCCTCCGAGGACTCGTTTACATTTATTACGAGCAGTGCTATGGCGGTCGAGTATGCTGGTGTGAACTATAGAAATGTTTTAACTGGTACTTCCGAGAAGGGATGAAAGCGTCTATGCTGGCTTTGACCTAAGAAGAAACCTCAGTGGCGCAATTTTCAGTTGGAAATTTGAAGATGTCAGCCCAAGGGTCGTCACGTAGAAAATCACAGAATGAGTACCAATCAGTATGCTGAAAACAGATTATGGATAGGAGGTTCCTGTTTAATGGATGCTTTGAAGGAAATATCAATAGAGTGGTCTGAGTTACCAAGATGGCAGTATTGCGAAGCTCGGCAAGCGGAGGTAAGAAATAAATCGAGTAGAGAAGCCTGTTGCTCGATTTGGCTAGGGCAATGAGCAGGGAAGTCCATGATTTGAGTAAGGGATTGGGTAATGGAAAAAATTAATGTCTGAATACCAGCGATATCAGTACATTTAGAATGTTTCTGCCATGTGTCATGGTGAGCATTAAGGTCACCGAAGACAAAGATTTTTGCAGATGGATGGAAAGAAAGTGCCCTTTCTTTACTGTCAGCATCTAATTTACTGCAGTCCTGGGAAGAGGGGAAGCGATAAGGGAAAAAGAGATAGCTGACAGTGTTTAATAGCGAAAGACAGAAACACACGAAAGAGGAGTCAGTGGCTTCGAGAAACAATTCCCTGGCCATCGGAAGATTATTCAAGGCCATACATGTGAATGCTGGAATCTTTTCGGCAAAGAGGAAGATAGCCTGGAACCAAGAATTCCTTGGTATCAATGGGAGAATTCAAGTTGATTTCAGAAAGGGCAAATATATCTGGCGACCGTTCCAGGAGAAAACATTCTACACTACAGAAGTTGGAACGGATACTAGGAATATTGGAGAAAGAAAGATTGAAAGGGTAGGTGTTTTTTGTTCGTTGGTTTTAG